TCCCTGGAGCCTCTGGAGGGAGCACAGCCCTGCCTGGATCTCAGCGGCCCTGTCCCTCCTAGATCTCAAGGGTCTTGCCCCGCCTGGGTCTCAGCCGCTCTGCCCCTCTTGGAGCTCAGCAGCCCTGCCTGGATCTCAGACTCTGGTCTGCAGAGCTGGGGTGGGGGGTGGGGGAAGATGCACAGGGGAAGTTTCAAGGCCTCCCACAGTGGTTTCTGCTGCTGTGTCGTCAGCCCCTTGGAACCTCATGCAAACGCCCCCTCCCACCTGGGCTGCCCTGCCTGCATTTCCAGAGTCCGATCGCCTTCCAGTGGGTCCCCGGTTCCCTTACCCACCGCCAGCACTTGTCCTGCTGTCCTGGCCCCTCACCCCGTGCGTGTGCAAGAGAAAGGACCCCCACTCACCTGCACGGCCTCCCGGGAGTGCCACTGTGCCCCCAGGTCTCATGTCCTGGGGGTGAACTCCCCATGGGCTCAGTTCCCTCCCCCGTCAGCCGCTCAGCCCCCCGGCTGCCTTCGCCTGACGCTCTTGACCATGGGAGACCCTGGGGGCCGAGGTGGGCCCCAGACCATTATCTCAGGAGCACAGGCACGAGGGAGCCTTCCTCCCCACAAGTGGTGTGGCCCCACCTGTAAGAACAACGGGGCTGTGAGAACCACAGCTCCAAGGAAAACCCCAAGGTCTGGGCCTGGTCCCTGCCACCACTCTGGTCCTTCTGACCCCCAGCCTGTGGCTGGCCGGTCCCCACAGCCTACGGCCTTTGCAAGGTGTGGAGCATGAAAGTATTCCTCTGGGACTCGTCTTAGGGTTTTCTTCTCCGGGAAACCTCAGGGTGTGCCCTTGAGGTCGTCACCTGATTAGACGAGGCCCACCCCCCATGTGACACCACCTCTCTTTACTTAAAGTGAGCTGCTTGCGGACTTTTGGTCCCACCTACAAAACACCCCTCAGTGGGTGTTTGATTGAATAACGGGGTGGGGTAGAGGGCTGTCGCCCGAACTCTTAGCTGGTTGGGGAATAAAAGAATCACAGCCAGCGACTCCTCCTTCTGAGTTTAGATTCCCCACAACACCGTCCACGCTTCCAGATGAGAATGAAATGCAGAGTCTGGGCCCGTGCGTCCAAATTCATACTAGCAGGATAATGACTGATATCACATCCGCTCACAAATCCAGGAAGTGACTCTAAAACATGTTCAGGGTCAGAGGAGAAGGAGGCTTGGGAGGCAGAATGGAGAAGCACCTGTGGGAACCCGTGAGGTGGGGTGAGTCGGAGACACGGCCGTGAACTCCTCCAAGAGTGTTGGGAGCTGCTGTGGAACAAAGAGCCGGGACTAGGAGGTCTGCACCAGCTCCTCCCCCCGGGGCCGGCACGCCTGAGCCCAGAGGAGCCTGTGGGAAGGCACAGGTTGGGGGTGGGGACTACCGTCGGGAGCGTGTGCCCACTGCCCTGGCGGGGGTCACCTAGGACTGGCACAGGGGACCCACTGGACAGCACATCATGATGGGTTCACCCTTTAAATAGTTCCATGACGGTCATTTCATGTGGATGGGCATCACATAGATGGGCAACAGCACCCCCCTCCGTCCCCATTATTCAGTCAAACAATCACTCGGGCTGTTTTGTAGGTGGGACAAAAAATCCACAAGCAGCTGACTAGAAGAGATGCTAGTTCACATGGGGGGTGGGCCTCGTCTAATCAGGCGAAGACCTCAAGGGCACACCCTGACGTTTCCCAGAGAAGGAATTCTGCCTCAAGTCTGGAGTGTCCCCTATTACATGCCCACCTGCCCTGCAGGTTTCACCCTCAGCAGCCCCGCCATCGACATCGCATGAGCCAATTCCTGGATAACCATCTGTGTATCGTCTTCGTGTGTATCTTTTTGTATATATGTGCGGATGTGTTTCTGCAAACATGTATCTTTTCGTGCATAAGTATCCACACGTATTTCTGCAGACGTGTATCTCTTTGTGCATACATATCCACATGTATTTCTGCAGACGTGTATCTCTTTGTGCATACATATCCACACGTATTTCTGCAAACATGTATCTCTTTGTGCATACATATCCACATGTATTTCTGCAAACATCTATCCCTTCATGCATACGTATCCACAGGTATTTCTGCAAATATGTATCTCTTCCTGCATACGTATCCACACATATTTCTGCAAATAGATATCTCTTCGTGCATACGTATCCACACATATTTCTGCAAATATGTATCTCTTTGTGCATACATATCCACGTATATATTTTCCTGTCTCTTCAGGGTATATATTTCGATATGGGTCTACCTGTATCTGTGTCTGTATCTGTATCTCTCTGTATATACATTTTCCACATATATCTTGCTCTCCCGTTAGCTTTGTCCTCGTGAACAAATCCAGCCCGGAGGTAAGCCGTGGTTTCCACGGGACACTCCTGCTGGCTTTGGAGACCTTCTGCGGGCATCCCGGGTACGTGCAGCTGACATCCTTCCTGGCCACGTTCACTTCCGGTCCTGGATGTGCCCTGTTGTCTCACGAAGGCCCGCATTAGATGCTCTCCTGGCGCATACCCTCACGTGTGCAGGGCGGCCTGCAGGTCATAGGATTTGCCCTCTCAGAAGTCACGATGCAGAGGTGCGGCCAGGATCTTTGAGGGAAGTCCCCTCCCCTCCCTCCCATGCCCGCACACAAGGGTGTCCAAGTCCTGACCCCCATGTTGTGGACTAATGTCCCCAGGGACGTCCACGACCCGATTCCCGAAGCCTGTGAACATGTGACCTTCTGTGACCAACGGGCCCTTACAGGTGATTACGCTCGGGACCCTGAGATGGTCCCTGTACGGGGAGGCCACTGTTCGCACGGGACAAGTGTGTCAGAGGCCATGTCCCAGCCCCACCGGCTGCTGGCAGGCAGACGCCTGAGCCACGGGAGGGAAAGGCTCATTGCTCCCCGGGGGTCAAGGAAGGTGCGTCATGGGGTCGGGACCCAATGGCATTCAACTCCGACTACAGGCATCCTTGCAAAAGACCACGTTGTTTTAAAGTAAAAAAATAGAGCGCCGTATAAATAAGTGTTCAAACAATGAAAAGACAAAACGGCTTCCAGAACGTTCCGGGGCTGGAAGCATCTTTGTGGGTCACACGCTCTCCGGGGCGATGGTGACTTCCTCCACGGTTAGGATCTCTTCATGGTCGATCTTTCCTGTATCCGGGGTGGATTTCTCCCAGATGATCTGGGGAGCACAGGGAGGACGGGGGTGTCGGGTTTTCGGGAACCCAGCGAGCGGGGCTCGGGTGGCCGAGGACTGTGGATAGGAACCGGGGGCCCGGTGGGCGGGGCCACCCTGTGACTGAGGCATAAAAGGACCGCCTGATGGGACGGCTTGGGACAGGGGCCTCCAGGCATACGGTCCACCACGTGCAAAGGTCCTGGGGCAGGACCGAGCCTGGGGACCAAGGGAGGGGAAGGAGGCTCACTGCCCACCCCCCGTGCTGGTTCGGTGCCCCCCCCCCCAACTACCTGGTGGTCAGTGTGAACGTTCTCACTCCATTTATCCTTGATGTGCGGAATCCGCGGGAATAAGGTCTCTGATGCAAACAACCTGGGGACACGAGGCGCGTGTGAAGGACAGACTGGCATGTGACCTCACCCGTCCGTGACGTGGGACACGTCCTCCTGCCGTGTGAGAAGCCACAGCCACGTTCCGGGGAACGATTTCACTGAAGGCTCGAATCTCAGAGAAATGAGCAAACACGAGACTGAGTCCCTGGGGTACGGGGACGGACTGCAGGATGTGGCCCATCGCGGGCATCCTGGGGGAGCCCGGGGTCCCCGGACATGTCCCCCTGTCCCTCCAACCTTGGAGAGCACGCTTTCCGATCCGGCAGGTTTCTGCCCGCAAGCTGGGTTTATGGTCAGCACTGTTTCCAGCGGCCTGACTTCATTTGTGCATCTGAGCCTGAACAGCTGAGTGCTGTCCCCCCAAAATATATACTCAGGTCCTGAGTCCAGGCACCTGGAAACAGGACCTTGCTGGGAATTTTATCTTTGCAGATGTAATCAAGTTAATGTGAGCTCATCCTGCATGAGGGAACCTAAATCCAATGACGGGTGTCCCTGCCCTGCCTGGATCTGAGTGGTCCTGTCCCCCCTGGATCTCGGGGTCCTGCCCTGCCTGGATCTCAGTGTTTCTG